GCACTTGACATTATGATGTAACCAAAACAAAACACAAAACAAAATAAAACATACACCCACCCAAAACCCTTAGTTTTCAAGAGAAATTCACCTCAGAAGAGACTGGGTCTTAGGTTTATTTTATAGTCACCTAAACAACAAAAAGAGAATTAGGTACATAAATGGATGCTCAATTTAAAAAACATCACACTTGGTAGACAGAGAAGTTTCTCTCTGGACCAAATCTTCATATATGGATTGAATTTAGTTTCAATAGTTAGATGATGCTAAGATAATATTTTTAAAAGAAAGTTTTGTGAAAAGAAGAGATAGGTATAATGCACTAAGAGAAAGTTAAAAATTCCTGAAAGTATGAGGGCTTACAATCAGCCAGTGGTTCTTATCTCTGGCTGTGTATCAGAATCACCCACAAATGTTCTTTTTAAATTCCTGGAACTCAGACCTTCCTGGAGAGATTCTAATTCAGGAAGTGGGTTGGGATACAGCATCTGAACTTTTCAAAGGCTCCACAGGTAATCTTGATGTGTAACTAGGTTTGTAAACCATTATCCTGAATGAAGTTAATCGATCAGTTTCAGGTACCAACTAATGCATCTGAAATCACCCTGCTCCTTCACCCTTGTCAATTAAAGGAAGTTAAACTTTTACTTAGTTAAGTGATAGTTGCCCAAACATTTGGAACTTTTCTTCAAGAAATTTCTTCAGATGTGATATAAGAGCCTCCCAAGATACTCATCCTATTACTTACTGCTTGTATAAACCTAGCCTGCTAACTTTATTTTATTAGAGATTGATTACCAACATAGGACAGAAATTTAAAGTCAGAGGTAATCACCTTATCCTTCCACTCCAGTTACCTGCTCCCCATAGTGAATGCTCAATTAGCTTCTATTGAATGAATGAATGAATGTGTGAGTGAGTGAATAAATGACGCTGCTTCCTCATTTTTTACAAATGAGCCTCGGATTAGTTGTGCCACTTGCCCACAGACTCACTACAAGTTGATGGCAGTGTCGGGGCCCAAAATCAGGTGAGTCCGTTCTCAGGACTTGATCCCTCTAACCTGCCACAGGCTTTACTCACCTCCAGACAACTGTTGACTGTTCCAAAAGGTAAATCCATCCTTCGAGAATGCTATTAGCTTCCACACAGAGCATTAAAAAATAATATACCACACTGTTTTCCACACTGGCTGCACAAAAGTACATTCCCACCAGCAGTGTAGGAGGGTTCCCTTTTCTCCACAGCCTCTCCAGCATTTGTCATTTGTGGACTTTTGAGTGATGGCCATTCTGACTGCTGTGAGGTGATACCTCTCTGTAGTTTTGATTTGCATTTCTCTGATAATTAGCAATACTGAGCATTTTTTCATGTGTCTATTGGCATTTGTATGTCTTCATTGGAGAACTGCTTGTTTTGGGTGTCCACCTGTTTTTGGATAGGGTTGTTT